ATGTCGGAGAAGCGAAATATACGAGATCACAAACGTCGATTTCTCGCGGCTAAATATGAATTGAGACGAAAGCTTTTTAAAGCCTTTTGTAAAGATTTCCTAGTGATATGCGGGACAAACATCGTTATAAGCCGCCCTCGTTCCGTATATGAGTTCTTTCAAATTTATCGTATCGTTTTTCGCATCTCGATGGGCATAAAGAAATCGTCTTGGTAGCAACCACCAAACCAATAGAGCAAGGGTTAGCTCCGCAGCTGGTCCACAGGTAAGTAGGTCCATTACCGGCCGGCTCCGGACCGAAAAGACCTAACGGAGTAATCCCTTATCTCGGATCGGAGATGCTAACGGGGCGGGAATCGAAGTGGGAGACCCCTCTACCGCCTGTGTCTATCTCCTGTCAAGTATGCTCCCCAGACATAGACTACGTACAGGTAGTACTCCTGGAAAGATAGAATATCACCGCGTGAACATAACATTAAGTTACGAATGTAACTCCCGAGGGATCGACCACTATTCTAAATATAGTAAGGCGGAGAACTATTGTTCATTAGAGCGCCGGGGCGCGGGGGTTGTTCCCATCATTGAAGTCAGAGTGTGGGGCTGAGCCTTCCGAATGATAAAGACAAAAAAGTGCTTTTTTCGTTGGAAAAACCAACGCAAATCTCATATTGACTTTCTCTCGCCCTACTTCTAAGGATATATAGAAAAGGTTGGAGAGAGTTACTTTAACCGCCTGAAATTCTCTCCCTTCTAAAGCTGCGCAAGGCGACCCCCCCCCAGAACAAAGCCCCACCCCTCTTTTCTCCCTTTAATGAAAGAACCTCGTCCCGCTTCCTATTCATTTGTGGGTCGGGACCCGAAGGCCCTTTTTTTTCTCAAGAGGTGATTCCGAGAATCAATCAACCGACAAATCCGTAGCCCAGGTGACTCACAGCCTCCCTCTCGCCCAAATGAAATGGGATGGATTAAATCAAAAAGCTTATTGATTGATTCAGGGCGCAGCGAAGCCAAATTAAATCAAGGCAAGGGGGGCTTACTTTTCCTGACGCTGAGTCATCCTATTAAAATTTAGCTATGCTAATGGAACAGAAAAAGTATTTAGATGATATGGACCCCGGCGAGAACCTCCAATTGCTTAGGGGTCGCACTCTCTCCCGCTTGGTGGACGAAATCTTCTCTCCTTTTTTTTATCATTCTTTCTCCCACACACCCTTGCCCTCTTTCACCGAAGAGGAAAGAATAATCTTCCATAAAATATATATATAATTTTTTTTTTAGTAAGTAGGGCCCCAGAACGCTAAAAGGCGGGGGAACTAGAGTTGTCACGATAGGAAAGATAAATGACTATAAGGAACCAACGATTCTCTCTTCTTAAACAACCAATATCCTCCACACTTAATCAGCATTTGATAGATTATCCAACCCCGAGCAATCTTAGTTATTGGTGGGGGTTCGGTCCGTTAGCTGGTATTTGTTTAGTCATTCAGATAGTAACTGGCGTTTTTTTAGCTATGCATCACACACCTCATGTGGATCTAGCTTTCAACAGCGTAGAACACATTATGAGAGATGTTGAAGGGGGTTGGTTGCTCCGTTATATGCATGCTAATGGGGCAAGTATGTTTCTCATTGTGGTTCACCTTCATATTTTTCGCGGTCTATATCATGCGAGTTATAGCAGTCCTAGGGAATTTGTTCGGTGTCTCGGAGTTGTAATCTTCCTATTAATGATTGTGACAGCTTTTACAGGATACGTACTACCTTGGGGTCAGATGAGCTTTTGGGGAGCTACAGTAATTACAAGCTTAGCTAGCGCCATACCTGTAGTAGGGGATACCATAGTTACTTGGCTTTGGGGCGGTTTCTCCGTGGACAATGCCACCTTAAATCGTTTTTTTAGTCTTCATCATTTACTCCCCTTTATTTTAGTAGGCGCCAGTCTTCTTCATCTGGCCGCATTGCATCAATATGGATCAAATAATCCATTGGGTGTACATTCAGAGATGGATAAAATTTCTTTTTACCCTTATTTTTATGTAAAGGATCTAGTAGGTTGGGTAGCTTTTGCTATCTTTTCTTCCATTTGGATTTTTTATGCTCCTAATGTTTTGGGGCATCCCGACAATTATATACCTGCTAATCCGATGCCCACCCCGCCTCATATTGTGCCGGAATGGTATTTCCTACCGATCCATGCCATTCTTCGTAGTATACCTGACAAATCGGGAGGTGTAGCCGCAATAGCACCTGTTTTTATATGTCTGTTGGCTTTACCTTTTTTTAAAAGTATGTATGTGCGTAGTTCAAGTTTTCGCCCTATTCACCAAGGAATATTTTGGTTGCTTTTGGCGGATTGCTTACTACTAGGTTGGATCGGATGTCAACCTGTGGAGGCACCATTTGTTACTATTGGACAAATTTCTCCTTTAGTTTTCTTCTTATTCTTTGCCATAACGCCCATTCCGGGACAAGTTGGAAGAGGAATTCCTAATTCTTACACGGATGAGACCGATCACATCTGATCAGTGAAAAATTCTGACACCAATCATTTACGAGTGAGTATTACACCAAGAATTAATTGACAAGCGGATGAGTTTTCTAGTTGGCTATGTTGATATAGCTTAGATAGGGTTCACTCTATATTTTTTTTGTTATGTTTTGTGCTTTGCTTTAACTATATATCGTCGTTCTTTTTTTATTGCTAGCTGTCACTGGGCTTCCAACCTAAGAAGCCGCTCTACATGAAGGGTCCAGCATGGCGGTCATGAAACGTCTACCCGGGCGCGGACCAAATTCCGTAGGTGATGGAAGAACCGCTCTTTTTACATCTACCTTGAAAGGATGGCCTTCGAGGAGATGCTTAAGTTACCTTAAACCATTCTTCTGTCAGTCCCTGTCTGTCTCCCGGGATCTAAATGGGCTATCCGGGCATGACCACCGAGAGGAAAATCTTGCCGGATCTATCGTTCTACAAGAAGGGACTTTTGGTTTGTTTTCAACAAGTTGCGTATGTCCTATTTTGTACGTTTGCTTGTTGGTTGCTTTGGTGGTCCTATATGCTTAACACACGTGAGTTGCCTCTTGCCTTGTACTTTCCATTTCCGCGGTTTATTTCTTTTGATCCTTTCACTAGGATGAATTTAGTAATAGGCTTGCAAGTGATCTGGTTCGTGCTTTCTCTGGTTGATGAGTGGTCCCCTGGCCAGTAGTAGAAGGGGATCTTGCTTGGTCTTCTATCTTATCTTTTAGCCGCCGATTTCCTCAGGATGGAAACCTGCACGGGGGGAATCGACAAGGTGCCTCCCAGGCGGATCGAATCACTCTCTCTTCCAACCTTTCTGACGGTGGCATGAGCTACCATGTTATCCGGTCAGATGGCTCAGTCCCTGGCTTTCGTTAGACTTCATTAGCTTTCATTAGATAACTTACGACCCGGAAAGAAAGCACTTAATAGAATATATCTCCTAAGTCCTATCTTTCGAAATTAATCAATCAATGAATTCAATCTCTTTGATTGATATAGCGAAAAGTTAGAGCTGAGAGGACGCACCCATTCCAGAATCCACTTTAATCAAGTCCTTTTCAAAGGGCATCCTCCTTTCGCTTGTATTTTCATAAAGAAAGTGTATATTTCTTTTTATCGGAGCTGAGGTTGGACCTAGAACAAAATGTCGGTTCGATTCCGGCCGGTTCATATGTGAAGATCATACTTGCGCTATGCTATGATCTTTTTTCCTAAAAAAAAAGGGTGGAAACGACATGCAAAGAAGTTACGATATGCCTTGTTCGATTCAACATCTCATTAAAAAAAAATGAGGTTTATGCTTTTTATCAAAAACGACAAAGCGACTTTCCCATCACAGAAGTCGATATTCTGGCCATTCAAAACGCCCTTTTAAACGGAAGTTAAAAATTTCGCATTTTGAGAGAACAGAACTGTTACCATCCTGGTTTTAATGTGCCCTTGCTTTCGCTTGAACTCGAACTCGCTGATGAATTTCTTATTGGTACGCTTGGTGGTATATTAATGAAAGCATTCGGACAATCTTCATTTTTTCAAATAATTGTTTTAGTTCTTCCCGTGAGGATAGAGAACTTTCTCATTATTTTGATACGGTTGGAAAAAAGTAGATACTCTTCTTAGAATTGATTTATCCGAATCTATAACCACATTCTCTCGTTCTCGACTTTTATACAAAGTGAAATCGGTTATTAAGGTAAGGATGGATGAGTTTCTTAAGAAATGAATATCTTAATTTTTTTGATCTACCAATTTTAGATGGTTGGGGGAAAGACTGGTCCATAAAGACAGGAATTCCTCCCGTTGTCTTCATAGCCTCTGAATTTTTGAATATATTTTTGGATGACTTGGATCGCGAGTTGGAAGTCTAGTTCCCTAATAGGAAATATGCCGGCTTCGACGATGAGATCCTTGTACCCATTTTTAAGGAATAAGAAAATCCCTTTAGATTTAGAATAGAATCCTTTACAGATATTTAAAAGGAATTGGATTTAGTTGGCAACTTCGACCGCGCAGTTCCAGGGGGGGAGCCCATCCTCTGCTTGGGAGGCTTGCTTTTCTCAAGAAAGAGGGCTTTATACAAATAGAGTTCCAATGAAAAAGAACTGTTGGTTGATTGGGGGAATTGGATAGGGTTGGGCAGTAGCCCTATCTGCTCCCGAAAGAAGAGAGTAGCCAAAGCACGACGCGAAGGCGAGGACCCCACGATATAGGGGAGGTGGGGAAGTGGGAAAGAGGGTTCCTCACCAACTCTTTTGGAAGGTTCTTTTACATCTAGTGAATTAGGTTATTTACGGGAAGAAATGGGTTCTTTTCGAATTTGATTGTCTTCTTCAAAGAAAGACTGTGGTTCATCATTTATTCATTGGAAGGGGATATATTTACGCTTCAGTCAATAAGAAAGAACTATCCTATTCTAGTTAAAAAAAAAGTAGCTCTAACGTGATGAATGGCAAACCAACATCTCAACAAACTATCTCCTTCAAAAAGATGGTTTACATTATTCTATAATGTGATAAAATAAGGTCATGTCAGTTCCTCTCTCTCTCTTTCATTCCTGATAAGGAAGAGCAAACGATCTTATTCTACGACTGGAAAATAATCTTATTACCGGCAAGACAAGCCAAGTCCCTCTATTCCTGACCCACCTTTCTAAAAACTCTAAAGCAGGAAGAGAGTAGGCCTTGGACCTTCCTATATCTATTTCCTCTTCTTTCTTTTGACTGTTGAGTTGATAATGCCTTTCACCTTTTTTGAATGTACGAGCTAGATAGTGGTTTCTGAAATCACTGTAAAGGAAATCATTCCCTTCAATAAGAAAAACGGTTTCTATGACCAAGTTGATATATGAAAAAGTGGATTTTGGGTCCTTATTTAAGAGTAGGTAGGTGAAATGAGTTTTTTTTTTTCAGTGATGTCTTTAGCCTTTGAGAAAGGGAGGCAAGGAAGCTAGCCTATGTGGAATGGAAGAAAGAAGTCAAGCCCGTAAAGCAGAAAAAAAGAATAGGTTTGATTCACTGGAACAAGAAATTTACTCTCAAACTACCTGTCCATATACTCCAAAAGAAGACTGGAGTAGCTGAGCGGAAAAGAAGAGTTTGAAAAAGTAGTGACTCTTTCAACACAAGAAGCTGTAAAGAGTATTAAATTTATTAGTCTTCGATTAACAAACTATGGAAAGGGAAAGTGACAGCATAGCCCTAACCTCTTGTTTAATAGCTTTTTTCAGTAGTGCTCAACACCAAGGGGTTTCTTTCGCTTCTTTTTTCAAAGTGCACTGAACTGGCAAAGAGAATAAATGTAGGCAGCGGGTGTACTCGAGCTCGGTAAGCCAATAAAGAAGGTAGGTGGGCTCAGAGCATAAGTCTATGTAACGCTAGGAGCATAACTCTATAGCTAGGAGCTTTCTTTCCTTCTTCCCGCAGTTACGCTTTCAGTGCAGTCTACGGTCTCCCCACCGAAAGTCGGATATAACTGTATTCCCTGTTTTCCTTGGGCGTGAGAAGTGAATCAGGGACTTGCCATGGATACGAGTGAAACGAAGGCACAGGCCCTTGTTCTCTAGAAATTTTTCGGATCCTACGTTGATTGGCTTAAAGTTAAAAATAACGTATTCTATCAGCCTCTGGAAGTTCCATTTTTGATCCGCCTTTTAGATCTTATATGCTTGATTATGCCTTTTGAGTGCCTAAAGACAGGTGAACGGATTCAAGGGAGAGTTGAAAGCGCTTACTAGTGAGTGAGGTGAGTGAAGTGCCCTCCTTCTATCTTACAGGTAGTGGTAGTGTAGCAGGGCTGTTTCCCTGGATGAGGTAGTTTCCGCAGGTTATATTCTATTACGCAGCCACCCACCTATTCGTGATAGGTGAACGAGTCGCCTAGGTGAAATACTTCTAAATGCTCTTTCATAGAGGACCCTGGCTTCCATTTCTCTATACGTAAGGTATACCCCTGTAACAGGATACTATGGTACACTGCGCAAATTCGTCGACATCCGGCATCTCAGTTTGTACCTTTTAGAAGGGATTACAGTCGCTAAATTAAAAAGTTTGCCCTTCGATCGCGGTATTACCATCTGATGCAGTCCAACTTATCCCTGCTAACCTACAACTAAAGCACCAACTGCGCTTATTCTGCCTCTATCATCTACGTCAATTTCTTCTTCAATAGATTCCCTCACTTCTGGCCCGAGAGAAAGTAGGCCAAAAACGTGGGATGTAAAAAAAGGTGTATTCTAGGGCCAGGTGATGTCAGGTATACAGGATGAGTCTCACAGTCCCCACAGCCTCCACGCGAGAACGCATCCCCTTTTCCGTGATGATGCTTTGTTAATCCTTTACTGGAAGTCTGCTTTTAAGAAAACCCTGCATAGAATAGGTCACATAAAGTGAAGGCTGGTACCCGAATCAATCCACCATGCATAAGTAGAAAAGTAAAAAAAAAGCAACTTTTCAGAAACAAGGGCATAGTGATTGCCTTCCTTCACTCCTTAAAAAACCGAAGCTTTGAACTAAATATCGTACAATCCTTTTTTATAGTTGCAAAGCATAGCGAGAGAAAAAGAACAAGAAAGTTGACCGTGACGGTCGTAGCTCTATCAAGTAGGTACGCTAAACACTCATAGACCGGTATCGTATAATATATATATATATATAATATATATTATTATAAAAGTCGCGGTGGAATCCATTGCGATCTTGGGCATCGCCAAAGAAGGGTGTTCTCAGCGCCTATGCTTAACACGGCTCCCATGATAGTAGCAGAAAACGAGTTGTGCTGGTGATGTGATCGGACCATTTCCCCCCGGGAAATACGGTCACAAGTTCATACTTTCTTTTTTACTAGTCATTTTTTACTAGAGTAAGTCAAGATCAGAGCAGGCACAACGACGCAATTCTCAGGGGCGTGTCTGGTGCTATCGTATATAAGAGAAAGGTTGGGTTGCATTTAGGAAGGATCTTTCTCTTTAACTAGAAATATCTTAAGATAAGAAAGCGTAAA